ATCCACACCGGGCGAGCTTGAAAAATATGCCCGGCCACGGTGGGATTCGAACCTACGACCTTTGGAATACTAGCCCAATGCTCTTCCAACTGAGCTACGCGGTCAGGACGGTCCGAGTAAGTGATATCGTCCTGACCGCGTAGCTCAGTTGGAAGAGCATTGGGCTAGTATTCCAAAGGTCGTAGGTTCGAATCCCACCGTGGCCGGGCATATTTTTCAAGCTCGCCCGGTGTGGATATGCACTCAGAGTAACATCGCAAACATATTATTCACCTGAGTACACAACACCAACAAAGAAAAATTCATATTATTATTATTATTATTATTATTATTATTATTATTATTATTATTATTATTATGTGCGTTGTCTGTTCATTCTGTGGTAAAGATTTTGTTGCGCTTGGTCGACACTCGTGGCGTTGTAAACAACGAGTTAATCAAGCAGAACAAAGTGATTCGGTAAGTCCAATAACAAGGGAAGTGCCTGCCGTGAATTCACCTACAGTCGTTATTTCAAGCCGGACTGTTGTTAAATGCTGCTGTGGAAAAATTTGCAAAGGGACTCGGGGTCTCAAGATGCACCAGCGTAGTTGTCGCGTTATACATGGGCTTAACAACGAGCTATGTGCAGATCTTGAAGAACAGAATGCGGATGAGAACACGGAAGGAGTTCTTGCGGATGATGAAGTTACAAATCTAACTACGGCTGGAAATGAAACAAGTCCAGTTCTTAAGAAAGGTATAAAGCTGCCGAAAAGAGATTCAGAATGGTCAACGGCAAATGAACATTTTAAATCTGCTCTACTTTTAAATGGACCAATCAAATCACAAGACTTGAATACAAGTATACAAGTATTAAATGACGCGATATATAATTACTTTGCCGATAACTTTGGACATACAGAAACGATTCCTGATAAAAACTTAATCAATAAATATAAAGATCATACAGTTAAAAATTTGAAAAAGACTCTACGAAATTTAAAATCGACAAACTCTGACATCACGGAAATAAAGTATGTTTCGCGTGCTTTGCGCGATAAGCTGCGTGACAATAACAAGAACACTCAGACAGACACAAACCATGATGAGTCATTTAATCACGATAAATATCTTGAGCGCAATTTCTGGGGTTATGTAAAAAAGTGCTTAAAACAAAACGGACAGTATTACCATCCTTCAGCATGCCAGAATGCCTCAATTACTTCAGGAAAATACTGGCAGAAATTCATCCGACTAAATTATTTCAAATTCCAAGTTGGATTCCTAAGTTACGTAATCCTCAAATTCAATTTGACCTTGACCCCCCAACCTATCAACAAATTACAGCTGTAATACGTAAAATGAAAGCATCTGGTTCTCCTTGCCCTCTCGATCAGCTCTCAATAATATGTTTTAAACGCTGTCCTTACCTTAGAACTTATCTCACCGAACTTATACGGGCCGTCTGGTTATCTGGTACCATCCCTTCTGAATGGAAAAGAGCTTGTACCATTCTTGTTCACAAAAAAGGCGAAGCTAACGATCCCTCCAATTTCCGACCCATTACACTTGAATCAATTCCTTTAAAAGTATTTACATCCTGTCTCCGTAATTCACTGTATTCCTTCCTCGCCGCAAATAATTATATCGAACATAACATACAAAAGGGCTTCACACCAAATCTTTCAGGTACTATGGAGCACACTGCTCAAATGGCGAATATTATAAACAAAGCACGGATTAAACAGCGCTCTCTTGTCATCACTCTCCTTGACCTTAAGAATGCTTTTGGTGAAGTTCATCACAACTTAATTCAATCTATACTTGAATATCATCATATTCCTGACCACATCAAAAATGTTATCAAAAGTTTATATACTGATTTTAAAACTTCCGTGATAACTTCTGAATTCCGCACTCCGTTCATAACTGTTGGCCGTGGTGTGCTACAAGGCGATTGTCTTAGCCCTCTGCTGTTCAACATGTGCTTTAATACTTTCATTCAGCACATAAAAGCTGACAAGTACCGTCAATTTGGTTTCATGTTTAACTTCCTCAATCCCATTCACTGGTTTCAATTCGCTGATGATGCGGCTGTTATCACTGGCCAAGATTATGAAAACCAACACCTCTTAAACCGATTCACAATCTGGTGTCAATGGTCGAACATGATAATCAGAGTTGATAAATGTAGCACCTTTGGCATCAAGAAAGTTTTGACAAAATCCGTTCAGTACTTACCGAAACTACTAATTAACAATGGTCTCATACCTACTATCGAAATGGGAGAATCTTTTAAATATCTAGGAAGATTCTTTGATTTTGATATGTCCGACCAAGAACACAAATCTGAACTAATGTCCCTCATTGATGAACTAATGTCTGATATCGACCATAAACCTCTACACCCAAAAAACAAACTTATTCTATACAACCGCTACGTTCTATCCAAAATATCCTGGCATCTCACTGTTGCAACCCTGTCGAAAACCTGGGTAACGGAAACAATCGATTCTGTGATTAATCAATACATCAGAAAGTGGCTTGAAATACCCATTTCTGGAACATTAAGTAATATTTATCTAACCCATAACAAATTCGGTCTGAATATCCTCCCTGCATCCGTCAAATTTATCCAATGTCAAACTGTCCTACGCAACGCCTTAAAAACATCCCCAAATGATTCCATAAAAGAACTCTGGAAATCAACTAACAATCACACTAATATTCAGTACGACATATATAATTCAACAAAGGAAGTTCTCAAGGATTTTCATTCTGGACAAGAAGATAAGCTTCAACACCGTTTAATTTGTCAAGGTTCATTTTTCTCGAATGTTGCAAAGATTTCCTTTTCAAAGTTAAACACACTTTGGTCTGCCGCTCAATCAAAACTGCCAAAGAACATTTTCAACTTCACCGTTCGTTACATAAATAACTCTCTTCCTACGCGAAAAAACCTTACAAGATGGGGTTTAGCGTCAAGTCCCGAATGTTCCTTTTGTTTGTGCCCTGAAACCCTATTACACGTGGTAGCCGGCTGCCAATCGTACCTTCAGCGCTTTACTTGGAGACATGATTCTATTTTAAACTTTCTCGCTGAAACGTTTCAAACAACAAATCCATGTCAACTTTATGCTGACCTATCCGGACACAAAAGCCCGTCAATTATAACTGGTAACCTATATCGACCGGACTTACTCCTAATTACCCCAAATGAAGATCTTTATGTCCTTGAACTTACTGTCGGGTTTGAATCTAATCTACATAATAACGTTAAACGCAAAAAAGCAAAATACAAAGATCTAATTGAAGATCAAAGGGGTCACTTTAATTCTGTTAAATTTGTAAACCTATCAATGAGCTCTCTCGGTGTGTTTGACAAAGAATGCTTCACCTTTTTAGAAATGTTAGACACTATAGGAATGGATAAAAAGCAGCAACATTACTGCATAAAAAAGATGACGTCTTATGCCATTAGAGCGACGTACTATATTTTTTGTTGTCGTAACAAAGAGTGGACAAACCCTGAATTGTTAAACATTTAAATTAATAACTACATATAATAATATATATATATATCATATACCCATTTTATTCTTGTTTTTATTGTAAATAGTACGTATGTAGTACTCTGTGATTCATGTAGCCAATTGTAAATTACCTAAGTCAGTAGTGAGATTTACAATTGTATATATACGTAAGAAATTCAATAAAGTTTTCATTATTATTATTATTATTATTATTATTATTATTATTATTATTATTATTATTATTATTATTATTATTATTATTATTATTATTATTATTATTATTATCATTAGGAAACAAGTAACCAAATCCATTCAATATCTCCCAAAACTATTTATAAATAACTGTCTTGTACCACGTGTTGAACTTGGTAAATCGTTTCGCTACTTAGGTCGCTATTTTGATTTCAACATGTCCGACGAAGATCACAAATCTGAAGTATATGACACACTTACTAATATCCTGAATGAAATTGATGATCTACCATTACATCCGAAAAACAAAATTCTTTTATACAGTCGTTATGTGCTTTCCAAAATCTCTTGGCACTTCACTGTTTCTGACATAGGCAAAACCTGGGTTAACGATAAACTAGATAGTATCGCGTCCATGTATATCCGAAAATGGCTTGAACTTCCTATTTCTGCAACCCTTAGTAACGTCCTACTTCCCCACAATAAATTTGGATAAATATCATTCTACCTTCAACCAAATTCCTTCAATGCCAAACTGTTTCTCGGAAAGCCCTAAAGTCGTCGCCAAATGAAGCGATCAATAACCTTTGGAAGGATACTAGCAATCACAAAAATGTACAATATGACAAATGCAAAAACCCCAAGGACGTATTAAACACCATCAGGAAACAACATGAAGACAAGCTTCAACACCACCTCATTTCACAAGGCTCATTTTTCTCCAATATCATTAAACATTCTACACTCTCATTCAACTCTATATGGTCCTCCGTTCAGAGTAAACTTCCCAAGAATATATTTAACTTCACTATCCGGTATATAAATAACACTCTTCCGACTCGCAAAAACCTTCTGAAATGGGGAATATCACCAACATCCGAATGTTCGTTTTGTTTGAATCCAGAATCACTTCTTCACGTCGTCGCTGGATGCAAGACCTACCTAAATGAAGGACGTTTCACGTGGCGTCATGATTCGGTGCTTAACTTCATAGCATCCATACTTAAATCTGTGAACCATTGTAACCTTTATGCTGACCTTCCTGGCTATATCAGTCCATCTGTTATCACCGGAGATGAATTGCGCCCTGATCTTTTGATAACACTTGAAAACAAATGTATTTATATACTTGAACTTACCGTCGGATTTGAATCTAATCTCCTCACTAATGCAACTCGAAAAAGACAAAAATATCAAGATCTAATTAACGAACAGCTCAAAAATTATGAAAAAGTGAAATTTGTAAATTTATCGATTAGCTCATTAGGAGTTTTCAGCCACCCGTCGCTAGATTTCACCGAAATGCTGAAATATCTAAAGTTTGATGAACAATGTAGAAAGTACTATGTTCGGAAAATTATTAATATATGTATCAGGTCCTCGTATTATATATTCTGTAAGCGTAACAAAGAATGGGATAACCCACAACTAATGTCATACTAATATTGTTATTATGTAGAGTGTTAATTCAAGTGGACACTGGTAAACTACCTGTAAAGAGAGGTTTATCATTGTAGTGTGTATATATATTATTGAAAGTAATAAAGTTTCCATTATTATTATTTTATTAAACATAGCCACAACAGACGTGTGACTTTACATTTAAAATTCTCATATACAAGGTTCCAAAAAAAAAAATAAACTTAATTATTATTATGTATCTAAGTTAATTATTCTTAGGTAGAATTCTTAAAAGACTAAGACTAAGTTATTATTATGTATCTAAGTTAATTATTTTAGCTAAAATTATTAAAAAGACACCTATTTAAAAACGACCGTTTGAATCTTTCTGTTTTAACCTTAGGTAATATGAAATCGTGTTCGCGTTCTCTTAACGGTCTTTGTCTTTTAGGAGGAAGTAGTTCGTATAAAGGGTGGTCTGGGTTGCTACATATTTTTTCAAATAAACTCATGTCTCTTTCTTTAATCACATCAATTATCTGAACACTTTTTGTTGTGTATCCATATCTGTATGCTCGCCTAAGAAATTTATCAATCCGTTCCAGGTACTTCTTTTCAAGTGCAGAACCCCATACTTCGATTCCATAAGAAAATAAAGACATAATAAGTGCGTCGAAGAGAATTGTTAAATTTTTTTTTAGAGTAGCCATACGATCTGCATATTCTCAAGATGTGCATTCGACTACTAGCTTTAGATATCAAATTATTAACTTGAAGGTCCCAACAATTTGGATCATTCTGCAGTGTGGTTCCCAATAGTTTCAGCCAAGTCTTGCGTTCGATACCCGTTATTGGTTCTGGTAAAGGAGTTGTTGATTTGCCACTTACAACCATTTCCCATGTTTTATCTAGATTTAATGACATTCTGTTTGTTTCCGTCCATTTTTCAATATTGTCTACCTCAGCTAGTGCGGAGTCATAATTATTTTTCACTGGAGCGCTAACAGTCATCTCATCTGCAAATTTGACTAGTATGTTGTTATTTGGATCTTTGACTGTTAGATCATTTATCATTAAGGAAAATAGAAATGGTCCAAGAACTGTGCCTTGCGGTACTCCTTTGTTTATGTCTACATAATTTGTTTCTATTCCGTTTACTATTACTCTTTGTCTCCTATCAGTCAAAAAATTTCTAATCCAATTTATTACATATGGATTAATGTTGGTTTTTCCTAACTTCTTGCAAATGATGTTGTGAGAAACGGAATCAAAGGCTTTCTTGAGATCGAATGAAATCACCCTGACATGATCAACATCACCATCCAGCTAATTTAGCCATTTATGGTGACACATAATAAGAGCATCAGTTGCGCTGGTACCTTCTTTATATGCGAATTGGTCAGATTTTATTAATTGTTTTAGTTCTGATGAGATCTCTTTTTTAAACACTATTCTTTCGAACAATCTCATTATTACGTTCGTAAGAGATATAGGCCTTAATTGTGTACATTCTATAAGGGGCTTTCCTTAGGTATTGGATTAAGATTGGCTAATTCCATAGGAGGGGAACGCATTGCTGTTCCAATGACATGTTAAATATCTTTGTTATCACTGGGGCTAAATATTTTGCAAAGTCTTTCCATACCCAATAGGGTAGGCCATCCGGACCTGTTGATGTTTTCTTTTGTTTTTCCAAAAACCTTTCTACAGTGGGTATATCAACATTTGGTACTCTAGTCTCATTGGGTATAGGAACGAGTTCAGGATATGTATAATTATCATCAGTGTTTATTGTCTGGAAATAACTATTTATAACACTTGGATCAATATTTATCCTGGTTTGATTTGCCTTCCTACCGGTGATTTTATTAACTGTGTCCCACCATTTCTTCGATCCAGATGCATATTTCCCATTCTCCTTCTTAACTTCACTAACCATATTTTCTCGGATAAGCTTATTTATCTTTCTTTGTAGATCTTCGTTAACTCCTTTCCTCACACTTTTATTGCGTATTTTACATAGGTGTTTTACCAAAGGGGACATGTATGGGGGATCTCGTGTGGATAATTTTATCTTAATCAATGGAAAACTGTTGTTGAATGCAGAAGTGATAATATGATTTAATAACATAGCTGATTCGTTCACGTCTTCACAGTCATCAATACAGCTCCAGTCTTGTGCTTCCAACTCTCTCACCATAGCAAACTTCTGATGGTCTCTTGCATCTCTAAAATAAACTGTTTTTCTTTCCGGTTTTACAGCTACCCGTGGAGTTATCACGACAGCCAAATGGTCAGATTTTACTAAGCCATCAAAGACTCTAGGGTGATTCCATAAGTGTGGACAATTAGTTAGGAAAATGTCAAGTACTTTTTGACCTCTTGTAGGTTTTCTCACCATTTGTTCCATATTATGTTGACTTATAATATCCTTAACCTTCAGTTGATTAACATCTCCTCCAATTATAATTCTGGCATTTGATTCCCACTGAAGAATTTGCTCTATACTCTCTGATAAATGATTTAGTAATTCGCTTTCCTGATATGTGGGGTCCGGAGGGTGATACACAGAGGCGACATAGTATTTGCTATTTGCTGTCTCAATTTCACACCAGATGCATTCCAAATTATTTTGAAAGTTTAGAGATTTACATTTCCAATCTTCCCGACAAATTATAGCAACACCTCCTCCATTTCTACCATCACCGCGATCTTTTCTTACAATAAGATAGTTATTGGGACATACTAAATTTGATAATATCTTACTGTTCAACCATGTCTCGCACACGAAGCAGATGTCAATTTCCCATGTAGAGAGCTCAACATCCAACGCAGAAACTGCCTGAGGTTTGGCAAGAGAACGTGCATTTATAACCATGCATTTAGGTATGATCTTTTGCGTAGGAGGACCATTTCTGGTGGGCTTGATAGCAATTAAATTTGCATGTGTATTTCTAATCTTGTTGGGATTATAAATTCGCGTGAGGGTATTTTGATCATAGTTTGTTTTACTAAAGCGTGATGTTATTCTAACCGGTATCTTCAAATTAGGATTGTAGGATGTCTCTTCATTTAGT